TCCTCTAGGGGCTCCCATCCCACTCACCAGGAACAGTTTCCCCAGGAAAATAGTCACTGACCTCGCTACTTCCAGCATCTTGCATCTAGAAGATATTTGATCACACTTGGTGGTGGTATGGGGTGATGATGAACTGTCAAGCATTTATCATGTATGAAGTGTGGGGGAACAAAAGAAAAAGGAAAACAAAGAAAAATAAAAGTACCTGTTTCAGCCATCCCAAAGCTTGAAATATGACTGTAAGCCACATAGACCTGAAGCATGTGCATAAAGCATTTGTTTAGGAGTTTGACTCCTGGGTCTTGCTCATCCTTGACCTTGGAGAGGATATCACCCTTTTGTGCTGCAGATTGTTCATCTCTAAGTAGGCGCAGGGCCAGGGCAACTTCTGAAATTGCCAGATTCATGCTGGCTAATGCCTGTGGCTTCATTAGTTTTCCCTTAAAGTTAAGACTTCCTCCTCTTTTAGGTGATATAAGTTTGAGCAACGTTTGTGAGACAGAGAAGAAACAAAGTGAGAACAAGGTGGAGAACTGAGTAACAAGAGAACAAAGAAGGGAATGACATGGTAACAGCAGGAAATAGGATGGAGAAGATGGAGAGGAGGGCAGAAGAGACTGCTGTCATAAGGGCCACTCTTCATGTGGCTTAGAAACAAGGTCCTTTGCTGGTGCTACTGAACACCCCTAGGGGGTTAGGAATGAGTGTCAAGCTCCAGGGCTGCCTAGCCATTCACACCACCAAAAGGTGGATAGTCAAGGCTGCTCAAGTTGGATCACTTCAGAGCGGGCTGAGGGCACTATGGCCTATGAACACAGTGAGCCAGGAGCAGGAAGGTCCCAGCTAATGGTGAAACCAGATCCAGATGTCCTCATGTACAGAAAAGCATGGGGTAGTCAGGGAGTATAGAGAGCCCTGGCCCCAGTAGCCTTGTGCCTCCTGGAGGCCAGAATACTTTCCCATGTGTCAGGCATGGCTCCTCACCCCAGCAGCCACACACACTTCTAGCTTGTCATGCATCACTTTCCAGCAGATGCTAGGGCTACTAATGCATAGCATAGAAGAAAAAGTCCTGCTGGAGTGATGCTTATTAAATTCCTAAATCCTGTCAGAAAAGAGGGCAACTTGCTCCTAATAGAATTTTTATATTTCTCGTGATCCTTGGCACCACCCATGACGTCCTTTAATCTCCAGTGTGGTGCCAGGGGTGGACTCTCCCAGCCAATTCTCTCCTTTTCACAAGCAGAACCCTTGAAAATACCTCTGTCCTCTGGGAGGGAATTTTGCTTTCTTAGTATAACAGACCAAAATCAAACCAAACTCACTGCCATTGAGTCATTTCTGACTCATAGCAACCCCTCCTTGGGTTTCCAAGGCAGTATCTCTATGGAAGTAGATTGCTCAGTCTTCCTTCTGAAGAGTGACTGGTGGATTTGAACTGCCAGCCTTCTGATTAGCAGTCAAATGCCTTAGGCACTACGCCACCAGAGCTCCCATAGTATAACAGAGTCTGTCTAATTTGTTCAAAATTTGTATGCTGACTGTGGGGTGTTTACTTTGAGGAGGAGTGTGTGTATGGGGGGGGGGGTTGCTCTTGTTCTGAAACTACCATACTTGACAGGGTATGTAATACTCTTATTTATTTTATGCCTTCCCACTCCTCTCTCCTTCCCCCTCAACACACAACAAATTGTACAAACAAACACGGGATGTTTGTGCTGAGCCTGGTGACGAATGCCTCCTCCCTGGACTCCTGCTGCCACTTCTGCAACAATCTCTCTTGCTGCCGGAAGTCACTTCATTTCTCATGCTGTCAATGCCAGCATTGTTGGACGTGGAGGATGACTTAGGCTGGGAAAGAATGTGGAAAGTGTCTCTGCATTTAAAGTACCATCAGGTTATGTAAAGGAGAAACAGGATCCTTACATTGCAAGAAGGAACAGCTAAATTTGATGAGTAAACTAGACTTCAGGTGGTTTCTGGAATGTGTATTTCATCTACTTGTTGTTGTTGTTGTGTGCTGTCGAGTCGGCCCCGACTCATAGCGACCCCTCCTTGAGTTTCCGAGGCAGTATCACTATGGAAGTAGGATTGCCCAACCTTCCTTCCGAGGAGTGGCTGGTGGGTTTGAACCGCCAGCCGTCTGGTTAGCAGGCAAGTGTCTTAGCCACTATGCTACCAGAGCTCCCTTAACTACTTAGCCTTGCTTTTTTCATACCACTTTTCCCTCTGAGTATCAGAAGCAAATGGGTTTTGTGTTTGAATCTTTTTTTTTTTTTTTTTTCAAAACATCTCTCCTTACTCTAGTGATATCATCCCTGGAAGACTGAGATGTAAGAAGAGGTGAATCATGTATCACCTTCGTATCTCTTCTAGAATTACATCAGCCTGAGCCTGGGGTGCAGCGGGGATAAAAGCCAAAAAATAGAGGGAAGAGGGAGAGGGAAGGGCACTAGGAGGGAAGGAGGAAGGTAGCTGGTTCTTTGCAGCAGACTCATTTGCTTCATCTCTTCCTCAGCTTCTAAGGCCCCTCATCTATTTTTAAGTCAGTTAACAAGAAAAAGCAGACTTTAAAGAAGCAATCACCTTATATCTACTGATTGTGTTAGCTTAAGTGTCATTTGTCTGAACTTTGTGACCAATCACCATACTCCATCCGTCACAGATGAAAGGCAACCTTGACATTCTCACGGACACATAAAGTATTAGACTTGATATTTTCACCTTGTTTTATGTTATTATCCGTTTCAAGCAGCAGAGGCACTTGGCAATGTGTAGGAATAATTTCAAATGTGTAATCTAGCCATGCAGGATGTGATGGCCCACACAGCTGTCAGCCGATCAGGTGAGACTGTGTAGAAGAGGCATGCAAGGCAGGTGCACAGGTAGGGTGGGATGTGACTTTCCTGACCTCTCTCTACCTGCAAGTTTTAAAATGTCATTCAATGTTATGTATCTGAGATTATTTGTAGAGAGGGACAGAGACTCTTAAGTGAACCAAAATAATGATAATAAAAGTTCTAGGCCTTTAAGAAGGGATGTCCTCATGCTTTTAAGAGGGACTCTGCATATGTTTTAATTGAATATTTTTCACCCACTCCCCTTTGCTTTTCTCTTTTAAAGATAGTCTTATGCCTGAACCACACCCAATAATTAGGAAGAAAACCTTCCACCCTCCCTTCTTCATGGTTCAAGTGAATTCCAGATGCCTTAAGACTTCTGGATCTAGTTGCTCTGAACATATTTATGAGGAAAACAAAAGAAAGTGGTCTTCTTCTGCCTCCTCAGGACACCACAGAAGGCCAGGAGTGAGATTCGTTTCTAAAATACAGGAAAAGGGGCCCAAAAGGATAAAAGGAAAAAATAATTTGCAGAAGGCACAGTTTAGGCAGCATCTTATTACAATTTCCAGCTGATCGGATTTAGCCAAACTAGAGACATCTGTTTGAAGTTTACAACAGAAACAAACACAGAGAAAGCATGAAAACCCTAACACACACAGAGACCGAGCTCTAACCACTCTCCTCTGTCTTGACCTCCATGCCATTCCCCCACTGGATCAGCTCTAGGTTGTAGAAAGCAACAAAGAAATGGGCTCTGTGGCCTGCCTGCTCACCCACCCCACCTGCACCATGACTCATTCATGCCATGACTGGAACTTACCAGCTTCCCTTGCCTTGGTTCACCTCCCAGGAAAAACAGAGATGGTCCCACTCCTCAGAGAGCCCCATGGGCACTTTCTTCAGGTCTCTAGCCCATCCCTTAAGCTCTTTGAGCTGTTATTAACGGAAAAGATTATTATAGAGTATCTTTATACCCAATCATTACATGACCCAGGGAAGGGGGTGGTTAAGACCACACCTGACCTTGAAAGACACTCCTCCACAAATAACCTCAGAGGTCTGAGAGTGGGAAGAACTCACCCCTGGCATCTCCAAGTATTAACTCAAAAAGCCCAGATTCACACAAGTTAATGATATGCAGAATGTACTCAAGGATTGCCCCAGTCACAGCATGCAGAATTGAAGAGGTCTGAGAAAGTCCTAAGACTAAGAATAAAGTGGTCACTTTCCTCATCATCTCCACCCAATGCAAAGGCCAAAGGCCATCCAACCATGCCATGCTGGGGATGGGCACATCATCTCCCACCACCACAGTCAAGCACCTTCAGTAGCAGTTCCAGACACTCACCTGTTCTATTCAGTGTTCCTCTTTATTCTCTCCCCAATGGCGTGCAAACAGAACCAGAACAGTGCTACTCTTAAAAAATAACAAAATGTTTTATACACATTTCTGTATATACAGCTGAACAACATATTACATGTCCCTTTTGCACAGCAAAAGATATAAACATTTAGCTCTGAGAACACAATTATGTACAAAACAAAAAAAGATGTCAAAAATACTTCACAACAGTGCAAAATATTTTACACAGTATCATGGAGTGACCTCTTTTGAGCAGGAGAAAGGTGTGTGTGTGTTTCTAAAGGAAATTTTTTTTTTAAGATATTAGATGTCTTTAACTGTAAACAAAATGCAACTTTCATTCCCACCCCCAAACAGTTATTTGAGGAATTTGGCAGAATTTCAAGGGTCTGAGTCTGAGGTAAACAACCCAAGCTCTCGCACCAAAAAGAACTGGGGGAATGGGGTGGCACTGACACCTCAAACATTGTGAGAGCAAAATCTTTTTTTTTTTTAAATGACAGGTCAATGACAGTGCCAGGCCGCTCCCAGTAGAGGGTGGGGGAGGAAGTTAACCCCTCCTCCTCAGGCCCCAGCTGCCCCACAAACAGGAAACTGGCCGGCAGGCACCTCACGCCTGCGGGACTTCGCTAACTTAAGTCAGCTCTTTACCGCAACCCTCACCCCCACCCTAGAGGGCTACCTCTCCTGCCCTCCCTTTCCTGTAGGGGGTTTCCCTCAGACCCACGTCTCTCCACCTCTCCACACGAGGCCGGAGTCCCTCCTCAAACAGCCAAACGTGAGGGGGCAAGGGACAAGTGAATTCTGGACCCGAGCCCCAATCGGAGGTCTAGGCCCCAAATACACCATTGCCCCTTTCCTGGGGGCGGTCAAAGGGCAGTTGTCGGACGACGCGTAGGGAGTCACAGTGGGGCGCGGGCTGGAGGCTGCTGGGAGCTCAGCTCGAATGGGGTTCCTCAGGACTGCCTCCAACCGCGGGCTCCGAAGAGTCCCCAGGGGTGGCAGAGGTGGGGTCTGGGCCCCCACCCTCGATGGAGCTCTCGCTGCCAGTGCTCTCGCCCGACAAGAGGCGAGTCACGCGCAAGTCAGCCTGCAGGCTGCGCACGTCGTTGCCAAAACTGAGTTCGCCCAGGTCGCTAATGAGCTGCGACAGCTCGGCCTTCATGTCGGCGGCGCTGCCCAGCAGAGACGACGACCCAGTCCCCGGACCCAGCGAGACCCCATCGCCCCGCAGCGCCTCCTCGCGGCCGCTCTCCAATGTGTCCAGCAAGTCCCCGCATTCGAAATGCATGGCCACAACCAATGTCCTCTGCGTCTCTGCCTCCTCCTCCTCTGCACGGCCCCCCTCCACTTCACGGTCCTCCTCATCCTCCTCCGGGCAGCCCTCGGGATGCTCCTCTTCCTCTTCCTCCTGCAGCTCCTGCTCCTGCTGCTCGCCGAGTAAGTCCTCGGTGATGGAACCAAGCTTGGGAGCGCTGCGGCTGCGCTCCACCGGCGGCTTGTAGCAGCACGGTCCGTGCAAAAGCAGCTTACGCAGCGGCACTAGAGGGATGGTGTGCGCGCCCACCAGCTCCTGCTGCTGGTGACGCGCGTCGTCCCGCCGCTTGAGGCGTTTAAATTCCGCCAGTGCGTTTGCAGACGTCTGGTAAAGCAGCAGAGCCATGGCCTGCGCCTTTTCGGGCTTGGATACAAGCACAGCGTGGCAGCGCAGCATTACTGCCTTATGTTTCAGCTCGTGCCGGTAAACCCAGGCGAAGACCTTGGGCAGCCGCGCGTCCGCCACGCAGTAGGTAACGCGGTGCAGCAGGTAGAGGTGGCCTGGGCGGCGCAGAGCGCGCTCCTCGGCGTGCACCATGCGGATACCCTGCGCACTAACAGTCAGCTTCATCTTGGTTCCTTGACGGCCCGCCTCGCTCTTGCTCCAGATTTTGCCCACGGCTAAGTCTGTGCAGCCGTCGCCGCGCGCCTGGATGGTAGTGGCGTTGCCTAGGTAGAGCACAGTGTAGGTGGGGTCCTCGCTGGTGATGTGTAGTTTCTTGCGTTTGGAGCGGAACATACTGCCCACCCGACTAAGCGCGCCTTCAGGGCAAGCCCGTGCCAGAGAACTGAGAGCCGAGTAGTGCAGGCTCACCGCGTAGCCCTTGGGCTTGGACGCCTGCCGCGGTGGCGCCTCGGCCAGCAGCTCGAACTTGTGCTTCTTCCACGGCAGCATCTCCGGAGGGCGCCCCGGCGCAGCTGGGTGGCGGCGGCGGAGCGCTGGGTGCAAGCCCGGCTGAGCCACCCGCCCCAGCCGGGCTCGGCCCGGGCAAGATCCGAAGGAAAAGAAAAGAAAAAAAAAAACTGCTGGGAGCGGCAGAGTGGTGGAGAGGTATGGGGGGAGGAAGAGGGATAGTGCTCTGGCACCCCGCAGGGAATGGGGATAGAATTTTTCAAAGAAAAATTCAGCTACAAGTGTGAAAAAAATAAAAGCACACACGCTCACAAAGAATTACTCCAGCCTGGGCAAAGGCAGAGTCTGAGGCAAGCAGAACGAGTAGAACGGAAAATGTCTAAGGAAAAAGCTAGTTGCGTGCGTGCAAATAGCGGGAGCCGCAGCAAAAGCACCTGGGATGGTGAGAGAATGTGCAGAAACTCCTCAGCAAACGTGTAAAGGAAACCCCTCACACTCACGCAACCCCGGGGCTCCGGCCAGAAACCGCGGAAACTCAATAGCGAGTGTGCCGAGGGGTTAACGCTCCCCACCCCAAAGGGGTGCTGGAGACAGAGAGCCCCTGCGCTGGGCTGGTCCCAGAATCACTGCTTGTCCAAAGTGCGGTCTGGTGGTGGGTCTGGCTGGCCGCGGCGGGCCCCGCGCAGCAGTCCCGCTGTAGCTTCACTGCATCTTCTCTCTGGCCGGACTCGGTCGTCTTACTGTCCCGGGTGGCTCCGCCAAGGCAGCACGAGGCTCCGAGAGGGGGGCGCGCGCATGGTCGACTCTGGGGGACCGCCGCTACCTCATTGTTTCCCTCCTGCGATCTTTCCGCTCTACTCCTGGGCTCACCTCGGTCGGCTGCCCGCCTTTGCAGCGCGCCCTCTCAGTATTGCCTGCGCAGAGTGCCGTGCTCGGCCACCTCACATCCTTACCATCTGGGAGGAAGATCTCGGGTAAATATAGGCCGGCGCGAACCATTCGCCGCGCGGGGACAGGGGAGGAGCAGAGAAGAGGATCCATTTCGGGCTCCGACGCCTGCCGGGTTCCCGGTCTCTTAAAGGGACCCGGTTGCAGTCATTGGTCGAGGGAAGAGAAAGAGAGGTCCAATCTGGAGGTTACATCCCATATTTGCCAACATCTCTTTTATTTACAGAAATCACCAAGATCTGTGCTTGCCCCACAGCAAAAGGAACTTGAATTCAGACACTCCACCCCCAGGCTGGATTGCAACTCACTGAATAAAATGTATGTCTAGAACGAAACTTCTGGGGGAAGTGTTGGAAAGTGGGACTATAATTTCCTGTGCAAAAAAAAGTTGGGAACATAGTAGTTCCTTCCTATGTGACGGCTCTTTGAGAACAACTGAGTACTGTGTAATATTTTTTATTTTCAACATTTAACTCTATTAAAGAAATAAAAAGAGGAGCAAGGAAAATACCAAGACTTATCTTCAATATTTTGGAGCTCTTTCTTCACAAGTAAAGATCAGATAGTGAAAAGTGAGGTGAGTGGTAATAAAGTCTACGGAATGAACAAGATAGTACATAGTGTACAAATAAAGTGCTTCCTGCTCTGCCCATGACCTCCTCCCACTGTCAGGCCTCAGAACAATTTTCTGAGATACATATAATTTCTAAGTAATGTTTATGTGGGTTTAGAACTCAGGGTACTTTGACAAGCCACCATTCAGTTTTATTACATTATTGACACATACTGGATGAGAAGTCCTAGTAAAAATTCAAATGACATTTTTTATTTGATTGTCAAACAACGCAGCCAGCCTCTACTGGGAATGATCATTGCATTAATCATGCTTCTCTCGTGTGCCTCCTGGACGATGTAGTTTTAATCATCTGACCAGCTTGACCCCTGACTGGTAACTTGAAATGACCCTTAAATCAACATGCTTAGCTTTATGTTCTGCTCAGTCAAAGCGAAATAATAATAATTAGAATGTATAATAAATGTCCAGATGATCCTGCAGAGCTTCCTCAAACTCCCAGTCTTGTCCTGGAAAGGGACAGTATACACACACACACACACACACATATACACACATAGGCCCAGCCCCTTGGAGACCTTGGATGGCCCTGGCTTCCATACTAGATCCTGATTTCAGAACACCATAGCCTGTTCTGGAAATTTCCTGGCCTTTTACACTTTGCTAACTTTTAACTTTTCCTTGAACTCTAATCCAAATTTTTCTCAATGTCATTAGTGCTGAGTTTCAATTTAACTAAACTTCTCTAAGTACCTATAGGTGCCAGGCCCAGAACCAGGAACTGCCAGGGGGACAGAGATGACAGAGACTCAATTCCTACTTCCAAGGAGCTCCCAGTCCAATAAAGAAGGTAAACTCCACCTAATTCTGGCCATCCATTGAAATGTGGGCTTGAGGAAAACACCTTGTTCACACAGTGCCTGGTACAAATAGGCACTCAGTAAATGTTTTAATGAGTGAGACCCATATGTGAACCAAAAGGCAGAGTGTGCTAAAGACCATGAGAAGGATCCAAAGTCCTATCAGAGGCTGGAAGAAGAAAAGGTTCATTGTGACTTGGAAAATTAGAAAAGACTGCATGGAGGTGGTGATGTTTGAAAAGTGAGCAGAATTTTGTGAAGAAACGGTAGAAGGGCTTTCAGGGCATAAAACCCAAAACCACTGCCATAGAGTTGATTCCGACTCATGGTGACCCTACCAGACAGAGTAGAACTGCGCTGTAGGGTTTCCAAGGCTTTAAATGTTTATGGATGCAGACTGCCTCATCGCTTGCCTGAGGAGCAGCTGGTGGGTTCAAACCACTGAATTTTTGGTTAGCAGCCAAATGCTTTCATCACTGCACCACAAGAACTCTTTTTCAGGACAAAGAGAATAGCAAATTTACAGAAATATGAAAATGCATGTGTCTGTGAAGGTTACAATGGAATTTAAAGGCTGTGATTTTTTTTTTTTTTTTTTTAAATCTCTGAGGGATGGAATGGCCTTTTTACAGCTGACTGATCCCATGGTAGCTTTTGATCAGAGCCCTAATAACTACTCCTGAGATATGTTATTTTGTGTCATCACATCAATTCCGACTCATAGTGTCTCTGTAGGACGGAGTAGAGCTGCCCCATAGGGTTTCTATAGTTGTAATCCTTCCAGAAACAGATTGCCACATTTTCCCCCGTGGGGCTGCTGATAGGTTTGAACCACCAACCTTTTGGTTAGCAGCCAAGCAATTAACCATTGCACCACCAGAGCTCCTTTCCTGAGCTGTAAACTAAAAAAAAAAAAAAAAAAACCTCACGGCCATCGAGTCTATTCCAACTCATAACAACCCACTATGGGTTTCTGAGACAGTAAATCTTTATGGAAGTAGATTGCCCAGTCTTCCTTCTGCAGAGTGCCTGGTGGGTTTGAACTGCCAACCTTCTGGTTAGCAGTCAGATGCCTTAGACACTATACCACCGGAGCTCCTTCTGAAGGGTTAATGGAGGAATATCAGACATAGTATTGGCATGAGTTAGTTAGGATGGTAATGAGTTATTTAAACCAAGAGTAAATCCTCTTTTACTCAGATTTTTGGAATATCTTACAGTGGCAATGGAATAGGTGGTATGTATTTCAAAGAACTATCGAAAACATACAGAGTTAACTTGTACTAAGTGACTTTAGCTGGTCCATAATCTTCAGTCTAAACTCGACAAAAGTGGGCATCATATTTAAGCAGTTAACCTTTCCAAATTAATCGTGTGTTCAAGAGTCAAAAGGATTTAGGGAGGAGATAGAGTGACAGGTGGTAGGCATGACTGAAGAAGCTAAGGCTGGTCTCAGCCTCTATCAGGGACACTCCTTGCACTTCATGCAGTGGCCTGGAAACATGTGGACCACAGTGGCAAAGAGAAGCATTTCACTGGGGGCAAGGCTTTTCACTTGCAGCCAGGGTGCCCAGGCCGGACACAAAGGCCCATGGAGCTGTTCTTGTTACCTAGTCTGTCCTGCCTTGACTGTCTTCTTAATAAGCTTGTTTTCAACCTCAGAAGAGCTGAAGGGTTCTGGGCAAATGCAAACACCCTGGTGTGTGAGTCATACTCTGTGGCTGTGCTTAGAGACTCAGGACCACAAGCTGTGTCCTCCTGCCTTGGGCCTCTGGGGCCTGCCTCACTTGGTGGAGATACTGGCCACCCTCTCGGAAAGCACACTGAGGTGGTGTTTCTTTAGCTAGGGGATGCTGGGGCATAGTTTGTGAGCCACGTCACAGATCTGAGATAGAGCAGTTCAGAACAGAAATCCAAAAAGTTCAAGTAGAAACCACACTACCAGAGTGCAAGCTGGACTTTTTTCAATGGCACTGCTCCATCTGCTGGTGCCAGGCAGAAGTGCTACTAGGTGGGATGGTTTCTAATAGAACTGGAAAAGCCAGGGGTCAAATCAACGCACAGCAAAGTCACAGCTGGGATAACAGTGCAACCACGGAGTCCCACTCCCACCCTTTCATTTGACGTCTGAGAATCAGTCAGCCTTTTACCTCACAGAAGGCTTTCTTGAGGCTTTTCTCCACCTTATTTCTTTAATGCTTCTCCTTTCCTTATTTTCACCTCCACAACATCCCACTGAATCTCCCTGGCACCACTGAATAGCCATGATAAATCTAGAATCGTCAAGTCATTCAACAAACATTTATTGGAAACCTAGTATGTTCGTGAGACATGGAACATAATACTAAAGAAGACAGACAGGTCCTTGCCCTCTTGGAATTTATACCCTATGGGAATACAGATAATAAACAAATAACTAATAAAATATCAGGTACTGATAAGTCTATGAAGACAAGAAAGCAATGTTAGGAATAGAAGTTGCCTGGTTTAGATAGAGTGGTTAGGGAAGGCATCTCTCTGGCAGACATTTGACTGCTAACCAGAAGGCTGGCAGTTCAAACCCACCAGCCACTCCTTGGAAGGAAGACTGAGCAATCTACTTCCGTAGAAATACCGCCTTGGAAACCCAAAGAGGGGTCTCTATGAGTTGGAACCTATTCGATGGCAGTGAGTTTTATTTATGTATTTACTTTGTTTTGGTTGCAAAGATACTGGGGAAAGACCTCCTTGCTTCTGCTATCCAGTATGGTAGCTACTATCCACATGCAGCTATGCAGCATTTCAAATGTGCTTCATTCAAAGTGAGAA